TTCCTTCCATAATAATTAAACAAAAAACACACATCAAATGTATCATGTCAACATAACGGACTATTAACAATAAATATTATTAGTAGTTTCTAATGGAAAAATATCCTAAGCCACTGAATAAGGTTAACTAACAGGATATCAGTCAATTGGATCGGAATCTTCACGTATTGGTAAGTCGGTTGCAGTCTATGTATTTAGCCGTGAAATTAGTTGAAAAATTAATTTCGAGAGGCAAGTTTCTAAAACCAAATGTAAAAATGCGAAACATCGTACCTAGAAAACTACGCGTTCATTTTGATTGGTCCGAATAAAATTTGGTGGCACATTGTCATTGCAGGAAGGCCGGTAGGCAAATTTTGTTAACAATTGGATCGAAATTTTAAATTCGGCACATACGGCCTAACGAACTGATCGGTTTCGAGTTTCCAAATGAAAAAAGTTTCAGTTGCCATGCAAGAACCAATTCAAAACTAAAATAAAATTACGCATACGTATATTCGGCGGGATCCTAATTTGTTAATAAAAAAACCCGTTTATGCCAAAAATATGCCTTTTTAATGCAAATGATGGGGACAACGAACTACCAAAATATCAATAGATCGTCTAATAAATAATACCAGTTTTCTTGATTTCTTGTTTTTGAGTGTATGAACAACCTTCTTCAGGGAATTTCGGGTTAATTTCTTCTAATTGGATAATACAATTGTACGATGGTATAATACCGCCATGCTTAGTATGCAGAGGTACACGATCACTTAAGGAAACGAAAGGCAATAAAGAATAGGATATAATTAAAATCGACGACTAATAAAACATGTATGCAATATAAATTCGATATTTCAGGATTTTATTTTTGATTATCATTTAAATAATTTTAGTTATCAAACATTCTCAAAAATTTCTTTGCTTTATCGCAAACAAAATAGCGGCCTTAAAAGCAATGCGTATTTTCAAAAAGTCTTGTTCATTTTTCTAATGGATCGTGACATATTGCTAACCCATCTTCAGAACAACTTAAAAAATTATTATGGAATCTGAATATCAGTTAAGATATGAGAACAGATTATTTTAAAATTTTAAAACACTTCATCTTTTATTTTTTCATTTGGTTTATCGTGCATTAATATTATGATAATCAGCAACGTTAAACATTTAAAATATCAACATTCTATCCTGGAGGTCTACTGATAAATTCAAAACAAAATTGGAAACTTCGCAAAACTGAAACATTGTGGCACAAGATTGTAGCGAAATCATATGATTGTTGATATGAAAACATACTTAGTGTAATGTACGTTTGAGATAACCCATCCATCTTCATATAACAAAATAGTCAAAAATTAAAAAGTTTGTTATGCTTCATGTTCTTTTTTTTTTTTGAGAGAAGACATGCCGATTATGCGAGACTTTTAATTTGCAGGTAAATATAAATTGTAATTTAAGTTAAAATATATAAATCACACATCGAACAAACTACATAGAATTTCATTTTAAAGATTAATTTATATTTACGGTTTAAACAAACTATAATTTAGAAATTTAGGATCACTCGCATGCCCTACTAATTTCAAATTAAGGGTTCAACCAATGACATTTTGGCATTTCGACAGTTTTCAATTGGTATTTGGTGTTATTTCGCCAGTGTTTTGTAAAAATGCTAGTGGATTAAGTGTGTGAAGCACGCTGTGTATAAATAAAATGGCGCAGAGTACTGGTTAGTGTAGGAAATTCAGAGCCATGCGCGGAATACGACTCGAGTACGACAATTTTACGGTATTTATAGCACTTATGTGGTTAGTTATAACTTGACGCCTCTAGGTGATTTTAAAAATCTGTACTACATGAAGAATTTCAGGCCCATTTTGTGAACATTGCAATTCGTCTTCTTCTTTTATCATTCCGTAGCCCGTACAAATACTCGATGTAAAGAATTAAAGAATACGTGAATTGCTATTGTTGAAACCATCTGTCATCTATCACTTACCTGAAAATGCGTACAAGCGAAAACTCAAAATAGGACCTCTTTTGATATGCGTACTTCAAGGTTATAGCACAACGAAACTTAATTATTTCGGTTGTTAACCTGTGTGCATTTTACAGCGACCTTCACCGGGAAATCTTTCCTTGCTTAGATCGTATCGCATCAGGTGCCGATTTTAGATTAAAAATTATAAGTCTTAAAAGCTATAGTCAGAATATCAATTTGTTTTATGTTATTATTGGATAACTTATATACTTTTTATGTTTTATTTGAAACCGTTAAAATGGCATTAAAAAAGTCGTTCGTGCAGACTTTGTTAATAAAAATCGTGAGTGCAATAAAACTTTCGCAAGTTCCACGACTTTTGATGACGTTTTTTAGTAAGTACGAAAATTGTTACTGTTAATGGTTGAGGGGACTGTCATTATTTTCCGTCATTTGTTACTTGTATAATTTGAGAGACAATCAAAATATTGCAACATGTGTAATAAATTCCAGCAACAATATATTATCTTTCGAATTAGTAACGTCCACTTTGACTCTGGACCACGAAACACAAGCCCATTAGAAGAAAATAATATAAAAACAAATAACTGAGAATTGAAACACCTACACAATAATTTTTTAAATTGGAATTTGCAGAAAAAACACGCTGAGAAATTGTTGAGAAAATTCGATACTTTTCTTTTGGGATAAAATCAGAGTTCTATGATAATTTTTATTTGTTTGAATTGTAAATTTTAGACTAAATGTCCTTAAAATACTTTTTTAATTTTTGGAAAGTTTGCGGAAATTTAATACGTACTAACTTAAGCTGTTTAAAATTCAACTAGTTAAACTTGAACAATGTTAAAAAGCAAACTGGAAGATCACCAGAAAACAGAAATAACGTGGTTCCGTTTTTTTTCTTCTTTTGTAACATTTAGAGAATTTTTAAATGTTTTACCGAAAAATGAATATTTCAGCAAGTTTTGTTTGGGCATTTATGCTTAGAAAAATGTAATTCTTTTTTCGATTACAAATTTGTAGAGAATTGAAAGTCGAATCCAAAATTATCGTGATTGTCCAGCGACATACGATGAAGCATCTAAATGCTATAGAACAGCATGAAGGTGAAGAGAACGCTTGCGTAAATAATTTTTTTTTGTATCGGTCGTTTCTAAAATACGTACAAAGTTTCTTCTAAAATTCTAAAATTAAAATAGTTGAATTGCATTACAAAGTTTCAACAGAATGAGTTTTTTTTAATCTGGTAGTCCCACTTGTTCAGCTCTTTATCTTCATATCAAAGCCACCTTTTCTATAACGTGCGCAAATTCGCCTTTATCATAATAGAATCAAAGCGTCGAGGTAACGTTATAACAGTCTACCAGATTTATGTTTGGTTAATTGATATCGTGTAAATGCGATAATCAATCAATACTTTTTCAACAGGACGTTTGCAGGAATAAATAGCACGTTAGGCATCCTCTTCCTATCGTAGGTTATCCATCTTCACGTATACTGTGTATTGCGAAGATTGCTATCGCCCATAAAGAGTTGTAAACATTAGTTGGAACTTTTTTCGTCGGTTATAAATTGCCACAAGATTATTGCTCGATTCTGACTACCTGCATTTGTCTCCGAGCTGGGTACTGCCGGAAGTTTTCCGCTGATTAGCACCTTTAAATAATGAGCAGTTTATCAGTGTATCTTGAAATAATATCAGACGATAGTAATGATATAATAACGTATCACACATGTTCTTGAATTGGCTTTCCAAATGGAACCTTCTTTTGTTATTAACTTCTGCAAAAATGATGAACTTTATAAATTGGATGACTTTCAATGTAAATATTTCTAATTTTTTTTACGAAAATTTACCCTTTGCTCTTGATGAAACAAGAGCAACAATTTAAACCGCATGAAAATCAAAACTCGAGTTTTCAGGGCATCATCTTTATGAACCTTGCGAATTTATTAATTTTATTGTTGTAATAACAATAGCTGAAAGACTATTAAAAGGGGCATGAATAAAAAATATTTCCTATAATTTGACCATGTTACATAAACGGGCACAACATTTATTCAATTTTAATAACCAATTCCTTATGCTACAAAGCTGATAACAGACATGTCAAAGGCTAGCAGATGTCAACAACAGACCAATCATTATACGAAAATTGCGCCGGCTCGGGATAACAATATATTTTCTTAAATATCCCAATGTACTTCTCGAGCATAGTAACTTTTTCTTAGTAGGTGCTTATTTTGAATAGTATATGTGCTTAAATGGAGTAAAATAATAAAAAATCGGAATAAAAAATAAATGTCATAAACTTCCAAAAACAAAATTATTTTTAAAATTTTAAAAATTATTTTTAAAATAACTTTTTTCAATTTTTAAAATAACTTTTTTCTTTTACAAAATAGTTCGATCAATTTTCAAATCCTTTTGAATAATATATCATAAATTTTAGTAAAATATAAAAAATATAAATAAAAAATAATAACTAATAATTTACAAAATGAAATTAAAACAATAAACACATTTTCAAAATTAAAAAAAGCTGTAAATAATGTATATATATATATATGTATATATATATATATATATATATATATATATATATATATATATATATATATATATATATATATATATATATATATATATATAATGTATAATTAGTGTGATGGAAATACGCAGCGTTTATTGTTAGTACTATTTGCAACGTACAGGTAGATGTGTAATTTATATTGCTTTATTTTAGATTTACTCATTGTCATACCAGTGATTTTAAAGTATTAATAAAATATTTTTATCGAAGCAAAAAAATTAAAGAAACAGTAATATACCCAAACTAAAAGTGTCAAGTCTCCAAAATTTTTTAAATTTTGTTGCTATATCTGTGAATTGGAGTTTTATAATAAATTTCTTTGCGAGCAGCATCAAAGCACTGAAAATTTTCGTATAAAAAAACGGATTTTAAAAATCATAGGAGACTCGCGGATTGAAATAAAACGTAATTTTACTCACCAAAAGTGCCCATATCAAAAACATCGAGGGATTCATTTTCATCGAAAGTCGCACACACCAATTTCGGGAAATCCCAACTTAATTTTCATTAACACCGCCCGCAGAAATTGCCGGTTAATAGAAAGCGAAAATCAGCAAGTCGTCAATTTTTAAATCGTCTTTAAAGCTCGTAGCGGCGGCGCTGGCATCACTTCTTGTGTCCCGTTGTTGACTTGCGAAAGCACGCGCGATGAATGAACCGCGTAAAGAAGATGTAACTGGCAGTTAGCAGACGACAGTGTGCAGGAGGACCCCTCTGTTGGCAGAGGAAAACCATTGTCTGCACCAAAGCTTCATTGTGGGGGTGCCGAGAGAATTCCGATCCAATTAAAACTGTGATTTGAGGAGAAAATCTCAAATTTGATGAGGCACTACATAGCATTAAAGTCTTACCCTGTTATATACGACTGTATAATGTAAAGTTCGTAATCACTAAATCCTCCTCGTTATAAGACGCTTTGTTAATTTCGAGTATTCCTCGGTTGAATCGAGCGTCGTTCTTGTCTACGCAATTGAGTATACAGGATGTCGAGGAGCTAAATCCATAAATGAACAGAGCAAATTATTACCTAAAAATCGATATGCATTTCATGTTGGAAAATTGCTAGGTGGATTGTGTGGACGTTTTCGCACTTATTTAGCGCTTAATACTTGGTACTTATGATTCATGAAAATTTTAATTAAATAATTTTAACAATTGTAACAGTCATTCAAAACTGTGTACACTGCATTGGACATTGGACCTTACCTACCTACATTCGCTCTGGCGTTGGTCTATTGAATTCGTCACTATTTGCCTTTACAAATGATATAGCCTTTATTAAAATACAGCAAGAAGAGTATACCACAATCGAGTTGAACAGGTGAACAAATATAAATAAGTCCCTTAAATCCACCTAAATTCACATTTTGTTAATTTTAAACTAATCAAACAAACAAATGCAAAAAAAAAGAAAGGAAGAAAAAAATTGACACTGGAAAAAGCAAGGGCGATATTCAAAAACGACTAACAGGAAAACAAAAGAAAAACAATTAGCAAAAAAAAAATAAATAAAAAAAAGCCTATCCTTAATCTCACCAGCTCTTTTAATTTCTTTTTAAATATAGAAGTAGATGAACCACTAATAATATCCAGTGGAAGTGAATTGTAATTTTAATAGCGTTATATGTGAAACAGCTCTTAAACGCAGCCGTCCTATGTATGGGAACATACAAGTTAATCACTGTTATGTGTATCACTACCCCTGATCAGTCTATCATAGAGATACCGATACTTTTTGTATCTATTAATTTAATACACTAACGTTGACAGAAGCAGAAAATAACTTTCAGACAGATTTAACCACTGAGAATCCTTGAGTGTGGGCGTTATATGATCAAATTTACACAAACCATAGCTGTATCTCAGGCAGGCATTTTTCAATTTTTGTAAGCTGTACTGGTCTTTCCATCTTAGGGCCGACCAGTATACAACGTCAGCATATCCCAATAGAGAGACTACAAGAAAGTCACACAATCTAAGTCTAATTCTTTATTTAAAATATTTATATTTATAATATTAAATATTTAAATATTTATATTTTATCGAAGGCCTTGCTATAATCCAACAAAATCAGACAAGTATTTCTTGACACATCCTGAGCCCTAAAAAGGTCATCAGTGATATAAAGCAGTGCTGTGGTCGTACTGTTCGTGGGGTTAAACCCAGATTGGGAGGCAAAATATATAATAACCCTCTCCAATATTTTAGAAATTACACAGAGTAAGCTAACAGGAATAGAAAGAAAATGTGAGATTTCAAATAGTGAAGTTATCTTAGTAACAGGTATTATATTAACCTCCTTCTACAATGAGGGAAATTTGGTGGTAATAATACATTGGTTAGTTCCTCATTGCTAGTTAAAGAAAGTATTTTCAGATGGATGCCGTCCACACCTTTTGCGTTTGATTTAATTCTAGATAATATTCTCTCTGTTACGGTTGCAAAGTTAAGTCGACTAGCAATTTCGTCATAAACACGACCTAAATACTACTCCGAAATCTTATCCTTATTAGCATGCACTTCACCAGCAGGAGGCGGAACACTTTCTTTAAGACACTGATTAAATATGGACGGATCAGAAACCCCTGTTGGGTTGCAGCGAGACCTAGCACTAATGTTCAAATAGTTCAGTGTCTTCCAGAAGTCTTTGGGATTTAAGCGAAATTAGTAACTTAGATAAGCTAGACAATAGGTTGCGCAGGGATTTATATTCATTTTTTGCTGTCTGTCTTTAATTTTTAGTAGTTAGACAAGGCCTTATTTGATGTGTTCTGGGGAGCATGAATATTGAGTAAATTACCTAGATTTTCGTTAATGAAATAAAGCATCTCAACAACATCAGTCATAATATAAACAATATTCCATGAAACAACGAACAAATCAGAGAGAAACTGCTCATAATTAAAGTTAGTTTAGTCTCGATAAGTTCGATATGACGTTTGAGGCCTGCTCCTAACCAGCCCCAAATCACAGCCAATTAGTAAATGGTCAGACATGTCACTCAACGTTACCAGCAAGATTTCTAGAAGACATAACCAATATCTCGATTTAGTAGTAGTTATTCTAGTGCACTGTGTTACTAGTTGATAGAGGTCGAATTTTTCCCATAAACAGCTAAGACACATAACTATTGCTATCCGTATTTATGAAATCAACATTAAAGTCTGCCCCAAAACACAAACAATCAAACTGCGGCATCAAAATGGTCAGAGTATCCTCATCATTAAAGCATCCAACCAAATTAGCGCTTGGGGGGCGATAGAGGGTGCTCAACCAAATACTTCTGCCGTTCACCTTACCACCAATCCAAAGCTGCTTCAATTCGCTATTATTCTGCTGTACATGTGTTATTCTAAACTTGAATAAATCCTTATCCTGCTATCACGGTCACTTCTAGTATTTAGTCAGATAGCCCCAGCACATCAATTTGTTCATCTATTCTTAAACGACACAAAGTCCCAACACAACGCGCGAATATTGAGATGAGAGAAGCTGAACAGCCTAAACTGACTCGCATTTTCTACAACAGGAAAAAATATATAACAAAATATAAAATAATTCGCTAAGCCGTTTTTTACAAGAAAAAAAAAAGAGAAATTGGTCCCTAGTTCTAATTTTCTTCCTTTTAGAACAAAAAAAACTGAGAAAACAGTGTTTGTTTCTTATTTGTAGTGCGAATAGGTTCTTGAATTTATCTGATTTGTTCCACATTTCTTTGGGACGAAAATATTAATTTATCGACAATTTTAGCAGTTTTATGAATTCAGTTTGAATTTACCAGATTTTAATTTGTCAGGTTTTTTTATTATGTAAATTAATTAATTGTAATTAAAAATTTGAATTTAAATTTTCGTTTAAGATTTTAAAAATAGCGAAAATATACAAAAAATAAATAAATAACCTTCGATTCGATCGTCAGGAAATAATCAAAATGATTAGTTTGTCAATTTTAAGATATAAAACTTGAGAATTCTTGTAAAAATAGACCAGAACTGGTATGGTATAACAAATAATTTTAATACGAATTCCAAAATTTTAAGTCATTTTGTTATTTATTTTTTAACTGTCTTTCATTTTTTTTAAATGTCTCGATAAGGTATTTGTTTTTTAGCGTCTTCTTCTAATACTCTATTTCAAAAAAATGAATTTAGAACAACGTATTTTAGAAACACGCATGGCCGTAAAGGCGAAAAAGTAAAATGTGATATTCGAGAGAATCACGTAGATAAATATCCTAACCAAAATTTCTGTTGGCAACGTTAGTGGTACTTCTTTTTTCCGTCCTTCGTTATCGCGAGAGTCATCGTACTTTACTTACACTGATGTTTTCTCACTAACGTTGTCTAATGGTTTCTAGGTAATAAAAATATTTGATGCAACATTTTAGTTGTAGGATATTATTCAAGAATAACCCACCTGGACATTAATTTACAATTGAGTCCAAATTTAGGGGAATGCATTTCTATATTTTTGTAATAAAATAAAAGTACAAAACTAATCAGTTATCAGTATTGAAAATGAATAGCACAACAGTTCTAAAGATTTAACACCTAGTTTAAGAGAATGCAATTTATACAAAGTTTGAAATTAACATTGTTGACATATAGACGGATGGAAACACATTAATTTAGTTTTATTTACCATCTCGGCGCTGTGCTTAAGGCAATTCAATAAGTTAAATGTAAAAATAATTTCGTTTCTCATTTCGCATTCTGTAACAGTAATTCGCAGTAAAAATTTCTTCGTATTGACTCAGTAAGAATTAATATATCAGCCAGTATGAAAGAGTGTTACGCCGTTATTGTAAGTACTTAATATTCTGAAGCCAACCTCAAAACAGTCTTGCGGCTTTTTACGTCGTCTCACACTTGGTGATAGATTAATTCGTATTGTGAACGTAATGCCGTTCCGTCGGTAAATTCTATTGCTTGATTTGAGATAAGTACCAAAAATAATTTATATGTTAACATCAAGCAAGCATCAATAATGTTAGTTTGTTTTAGATAGATGGATAATATAGATTAATGGTCAACATACAAACTAACCAAATGCGAGTCAAAAAGTTACATGGTTTACTTGTTAGCTGCGTAGTTCAATTCGACTCTGGATTGCGCGCTAGCTATAGAACATATTTTTAACATATTCGTATTTTTGTTGGTTTTTGGTAATTTTGGCAATTTATGTAGTAGTGAAATGAATGTAGAGAATATTTCCCGTATGACTTTACTAGAAATAATGTTGCCTCAGTAATTAAAAAAATAAAATGAATTCTTGGTGATCCAGTAAAAATTTTGCGGGCATCAGAGGTCCCATAATTCTCCTTTTGCCTTACCTTGCAGTCATATTTTTCTCTCAAAAATGCGTCTCTATTTTTTTTATATTTCAATCAATCCATTTTTGAACCTTCTTCTAATTAACGTCATCTTTAAATCTAAGTAATTAATGGTTACGGTGAAAAGAGAAAAACAAAACATGGTAGCCAAAATATGCTAACACCTTTTTAACTCCATAATTTTTAATTTTCTTATATCTTATTGTTAAGCCCGGTAGGCACGATGCAATAATTTCTACATATATTTTTTCAAAAAAGTAGTGCAACGTGTCTACTACTAAATAGTGAAAAAAATTTACATG